CCCACCACTCCTAGACCACCCGAAACCACTTACCCACCCTCCTATACCCCTCAGCAGGACTGTATTACACCTGTTGAGGGCCTTGCTGCTATCAACCAGGTCCTGGCCTAGAGCACTTCGACTAGGTCTTCCCCTGGCCTAAATCGGTTTGATACCCTCTTTAGGGTGATTTAAACCCTTTTTCTCCCTTTTACAGGGTGTAGTGCTGATGCTTTAAGCACTTTAGCCGTTGAGTTTTTTCCAGCTTTTTTGGTTGTTTACTCGAACTATGTTGCTGTATTACTGTCTATTTCAACCCTCATCATCTCCCAATGGATAACTTATCTTCTACCATTCCTACTAAGGTATCTACTGTGGTCTCCACCAAACCCGTGCCTGTTCCAAGTATTGATTTTTCTCTTTCCCATCACACTCATATTCATCGTAATACGAGTGTGGTGTTGAATAGGAAAAATTTTACTGGTTGGAGCCATTCCCTTAAACTTTACCTTGGGGAAAAGGGAAAGGCCCATTGGCTTTTATCTACTATTACCCTGCCAGCTGCGACAGACCCTACACGTGCTCAATGGGATATTGATAACTGCACTACATTGGGATGGATGTTCAATTCCATGGAAGATCGAATTTATCATATGTTCCTTTATTGCGATACAGTTTCAAGTTTGTGACAAGCATTGTCATAGATGTACGCTCATGCACACAATGATGCCCGTATCTTTGCGCTTTACCAAGATATACCCCGGCCTCTCAGTCTCCTCTTGGCCTTTCTGTAATTGAATTCTTTGGCTATCTTCAGGCTCATTGGGAGGAACTTGCTCAATATGAGCCTTTAACTGACCTTCCACCAGAAGCCGCCTCCCTTATGTCCAAGAGGCTTGCCCGACAGCACACTTATCAGTTTCTCATGGGTTTAAATTTTGAATTTGAATCTCTTCGAATTCAGATTCTCGACACATCACCCATGCCATCTCTTTATGAGGCTTTTGCCACTATTGACAGTGATAAGCGTCACCGGCGATTGATTCAGCCTAGTGTTCCTTCAGTACCTCCAGTCTTAGCAAATCAGATGGCTCTTGCTGCGAGTTCTGGTTCTCGAAGTTCCACCAGTTCTGTTACTTGTCAACATTGTGGTGCGCCTGGACAAGTCAAAGCTCATTGCTTCAAACTTCATCCTGAGTTCAGGCAATGCCCTTCACCGACCTTGTGGTCCTGCTACACGTAGTTCTGGCTCTGCTCGCAATGCTGCTTTGGTGGAAGTTACTCCTGCTTCTGAGCCTCCTAATGTCCCTAATCTACAGCAATTACAGACTCAAATTGGTCAGCTTCAGGCCCAACTTGGATCTCTCACCACTGGTATTCTTGGTCCGTCATCCTTTACTGTCACCCTTGCTATAGGTACTTCTACTGCTTTCCATATTCAGTCTGCTAATCCTTTATAGATTCTGGATTCTAAGGCTAATGATCATATGACTGGTGAGTTTTCTTTTCTTTTCTTTCCTCTCTTGCACCCATCATTGTTGCCCAATCTGTTTGTCTAACTGACAATTCTTGCTCTTCTATCCAACATAAGAGTGTTGTGTCTTTATCCCCTGATATCTCATTATCTTCTGTGTTGCATGTTCCCAAGTTTGCTTATAATCTCTTATATGTTAGTCGTCTTGCCAAAACCTTTAATTTTGCCATCATCTTCTTACCTTCTTCGTGTCTTTTACAGGACCTGAGTTCGAAGAGGATTTTTAGTAGGACATATGAGCGCAATGGGCTATACTACTTTGGGGATCCACCGGACCAACCTTCTTTGCCTTTAGCCAGTTTTCAAGCGTCTGTTTTGCCTGTTTCTATATCTTGTGTTTTTTTCTGTTAAAACTTTAGAGTTATGGCACGCCCGTATGGATCATGTTAACTTTCAATATTTATGTCAACTTTTTTCGTTATTAAATAAAGCTTGCAAGGATTCTAAATTTCATTGTTACTTGTGAGTTGTCTATACATATCCGTACTAATTATATACCACATATGACACGTGCCCCTAGTGCTTTTGACCTTATTCATTCTGATGTTTGGGGTCTCTCTCCTGTTCCTGCTTTTCGAGTCATCGTTATTATGTGACTTTTATTGATGATCACACTAGGTGCACTTGGGACTATTTACTTTGCCGCAAGTCTGATGTGTTTCCATTTTTGTTCAGTTTTTGCAAATGGTTAAGACAATTTCATACCAATGTTAGGAACATCCACTCTGATAATGGTGAGGAATACATCTCCAATGAGTTTCGTTCTCACCTTAATCGAACGGGTATTGCTCAACAACTTACATGTCCTCGAACCCCTGAACAAAATGGTGTGGTTGAACGTAAAAACCGTCATATTATGTCTATCATGCGTTGTCTTCTTCGTGAGTGTACCCAAGTCTTATTGGCGCATGTTCTTCTTACTGCTGTCTATCTCATTAATAGGACTCCTAGTCATGTGTTACATGGCCTTACTCCATTCCATATTCTTATGCCTAATACTACCATTTTTCCTCTTTTGCCTCGTGTTTTTGGGTGTACATGTTTTGTTCAAGGCCGGCGTCCCACTCACACTAAGTTAGATGACAAGTCTATTCGTTGTGTTTTTTTAGGGTATTCTTCCATATCAAAAGGGTATAGATGTTTTGATCATGTGTCTCATCATTTTCACCATACTCTGGATATTACTTTTTGTGAGGGTCTTTCTTTTTTTAGTCCTAACCCCCCGTTGCAGGTTTCCCCCTTCAGCTACTCAAAGTGTTCGCCTGATCCCCATTTTGGATGCGGTTGCGGATAAGGTTGCCCCCCCCTCTCATCCTCCACCTTCGCCTCCTTTCCCCCTCCCTTACAGGTATACTCTCGCCGCCCTCATGTTCAGCCCCCTCCTGCTTCCTCTCCAGATCTTTGGTCAGGTACTTCTTCCCCTTTACATTCCTCTCATTCCCTTCCTCGCCGTAATCCTTTTTTGGGATCGCCATCCCCTCCAATTGTTGAGGTTATCTATATAGTACTAATCATCCCATTTCCCAGTATCTCTCATATGACAGGGTTTTCGACTCATATCATTATTTCCTTGGCAAGCTTGAGTCTAAGTCTATTCCTCGGTCTGTGTCAAAGGCCCTTCAGAATCCAACATGGGTGGCGGCAATGTAGACTGAAATGGCAGCTTTAAAACAGAATCATACTGAGGATTTGGTTCCTTTACCTTCTGGCGAGAGTACTGTGGGATGCAAATGGGTCTTTACTATTAAGTACCTACCTAATGGCTCCGTTAACCGTTATAAGGCCCGCTTAGTGGCCAAAGGCTTCACTCAAATTCCTGACAAGGATTTTGGTGATACCTTTGCACCAGTTGCCAAGCTTACATCTGTTCGTCTCCTCATCTCTCTTGCAGCATCCTATTCTTGGCCCCTTTATCAGCTTGATGTCAAGAATGCCTTTCTACATGGGGATCTTCTTGAGACGATTTATATGGTCCCTCCTCCTGGTTTTCGAGCTGCGGGGGAGTATTCGGGGCAAGTATGTCGACTACGCAAGTCTTTGTATGGCTTAAAACAGTCTCCACAAGCTTGGTTTGGTTGTTTCAACTCAGCTAATCTCCATGGGCTTTGTTTAGTGCCATTCAGACCATACTTGCTTCATCCGTCGTAATTCTACAGGTCAATGTATAGTCTTGTTTGTGTATATGGATGATATCATTCTCACTGGTGATGACTCTATTGGCATTGATCAAGTCAAACAGGATTTGGAACACACCTTTGATATTAAGGATTTGGGGAATCTCAAGTATTTTCTAGGATTGAGGTGGCTCGCTCACAATAGAGGATTTCCTTAGCTCAAAGGAAGTACATTCTTGACTTACATAAGGATACTAGTATGTTGGGGTGTAAACCTGCTTGTACTCACATCAAAGTCCGGCAAATTACTAGAGGATCTAGGTATGTATCAGCATTTTGTTGGACGTCTCATCTATCTGACCAATACTAGACCTGACTTGAAATTTGCGGTTAGTGTGGTTAGCCAATTCATGCATGCACCTCGTACAGAACATCTTGATGCGGTTCGTCACATCTTGAGATATTTAAAGACCTCTCCTGGCTTGGGATTGTTCTTCATAGCTAATCCTCAATCTGAACTCTTCTGTTTTACTGATGCTGACTATGCAGGATTTAGAATGGATACGCATTCTACTTTTGGCTTCTGTACTTTCTATGGTGATCATCTTATGTTATGGAAAAATAAGAAACAAGCAGTTGTTTCTAGGTCTTCTGTAGAAGTTGAGTATAGGGCTATGGCACAAGGCACTTGTGAGATTATATGGTCGCGCTCTATTTTGGCAGAGTTAGGATTTGAGGAGATTGCTCCTGCTTCTTTATTTTGTGACAAGAAGTCTGCTATTATGTTGTCTTCTGATTCTGTCCTACATGAGTGTACTAAGCATATAGAGGTTGATATACATTTTATTCGAGAGAAAGTTCGGATTGGTATTGTGAGACCATCCTTTGTCTCTTCTTCTTAGCAGTTAGCAGATATATTCACTAAGTCTGTCAGCCCAACGTTACTCCAGTCGTTTATCGACAAGCTGCGTTTATTGAATATCTTCACACTAACTTGAGGGGCAGTGTTGGAATTAAGAAATAGTGATAATATAATTATAGTAGTGTTGGAATTAGGAAATAGTGAAGAGTGATATTGTAATTATGGTTGTGTATATAAAATCTGTGATTGTGTCAATCACAGATTAAATACCTTTTTTATCTTTGTTTCCTATTTTGTAATATTGTTTCATTATAAATACAAGGCTCTACGACCTCATTCATAAATAAGCCAAATAATTTTTTCATTCTTTTAAATGCACAGGACTTGCAAGCTACAAAAAGTTACCAAACTTTCAAATATTTAGAAAGTAAAGATGTCTACTTCATTGATTCATAAACTTTTCGTGCAATTTGAACACAAACTTGAATGTTGTGATTTGGTAGGAAAGTACCTTCAAAATTATTAGCTTGACATTACAATCCTCCTCAGAAGCAAGGAATAGCTCCAATAGCCGAGATACCTAGACAAAAAAATGAAGAGAAATATCAAACTCTTGCCCCATTGAGGTCATGTCCTAGCAAGACAAATATTTTATTAAAATATGAAAATTATACATTTATCAACATATGGTTGCAGAATTCAAGATAACATGAAAAAAAGGACACAATGACAAACAACCTAAACTTACATTGGATTGTAGTTGAAACAAGAATGCAAGCAAGTAAATGGTGCACATATTAATGAAGAACCATCATATCAATGAAGAGAAAAGAAAATCATTGAAAATTTACTAAACAAATATATAAACAAGTGATGGACTTCACCAACTCTTAAAACAATGCTATGAGACAACGGCATCACAAGTAGAATATTGAGATTTGCTTCCCAATTTCTTAATCCACCATGATAGTTAGGCCAAAACAACAATCAAAATCAACATCAGAAGAATTAGCATGTCCCACTCCAACAATGTTCACAAAAGTGTCTTAATAATAAGTTTTAATTATGTGTACATCCACTAGATCAAAAACAACAACTCTCAAGAACCATCCTTGGCATCACCAAATATGCAACAAAAACAAAGAACAAAAGAAACCATAGGTCTGTAAGAATTTGAGAATAGACCAAAACAAAAAGTATCCGCAAACAAATGTAGATACCAATCTGATAATAGCAGTACCAAAACAAAAATAGCATTAAGCAGTGTTAACAGCCTATTAAGGTAGTAACCATTAGTGCTAAATACAAATGTGTTAGATAGTTCAACCATGTAATGATGTAACAATAGAAAAAAGAAACTTAAAAAAAAACAAATAAAAAAGAAGAAGGGCTACTAATCCAATAATATCATTATTATACCATTTGAAAGGAAAGTGCATTCAATTGCTTAGGCCTGTTTAACAAAACTTTTATCCCATAAGAGTAGTCTTCCAGCAGAACCTGCCAAACAAAAATTAATAAATAAAATGTGCAAGCTATAGTTACGAAAAACATCTAATAATAATACCAAGATTAAAAGAAACATTCAAATCAACATCATCATCCGAAGAAAAAGTTCACAATTGCAAAAATTATTATATACATAAAGAGTAATTCATGATGGCATAACTTCGTCCATTTTCCCAACTACATGTTATTCTAACAACTAAAATAAATAAGGCTAGTACATCTCCAATTAAGGGTGGCAAGGGATAGCACACAAGCTAATTACTTATAGTAAATATGTGAAAGTTTCATTTGTTAGCGCTCACCAAGAGATTAAATATATATATATATATATATTACGCATATCAACGAATATCAACCACACTCAAAATAGTGTTTTGGAACTAGAAATGGAAAAACCAGTGTTCGAAGTTCACTAACCATGATTCCCCACCAAACAATCCCTAAGCATGCATTTCTAGTTTTAATTGCTATCAATCAATAATCTCATGTCAAATTATTGATTTCCTGTGAAAACCTTAATGGCATACATATCTGGAATTGGATCTACCAATTTCCATATTTCGGTATGTACACAAACAAATAGAGACATTAATGAAACCAAAAGATATTTTCTTTGAGGCTGTGTCAAGTCTTAAGATGAATGTGGTAAGAGTGCATTGATTCTAGTCAATGAGGAGGAGGAGCTTCATGGCTTGGCTAACAATTTAGGGTTCAAGGCAGGATCTCTAACCTATCTCATGCCTTTGCTTCTTACTTGGATCTCCTTTCATGGCTAATTGTAAGACACCGTTGTTTAATGCTTTGAGAGAAGATTAGCTTCATAAAAGAAATAGTATTTATTGAAAGGTCCTTATCAAGTTTCAAGAGCACCCTTTCTAGCCTCCCAAGTACCAATCTATTTAATGTTATGATTTGTGATGTGGGGATATTCCATTATATGTGGTATTCCCAGATTTGTTTTAGTGTTGTGATTTATAAGAATGCTTGATTATGTGACGTTTAATATACAGCAGGATTCATGTTGAATGCTCAAATCAATAGAGTTAGGAATGTGAGGTGGAGTCATTGAGGCAAGGCAATGGATGAGTCCTACCAAGGGGTGGAGACTTGTAAGGACAAAGAGGACGAGATAATAAACCAAACCAAGCCTTTAAATCCCATCAAATGGGGTCGGCTAAGAGGACAGATAATAGAAATCCTGCCATTTTTTATTTGGGAAAGGGGCTGCCAATGCTTTTCTGTGGGAAAGCATTTGAAAGTTGCTGTAGTTTAGAGTTTAGTTTTATTCTATTGATTTCATTTATTTTGAGATTGATTTGGGTTTTTATATTTCCAAGCCCATGAAGTGGGGGTTGTTCGCATCCACTAAATGGTCACTTGCTAGTCACATGACCATAAAAGTGACATGATAAGTGGACCTATCGTGTCTTGGCAAATGAGCAAGGGGATGTTTAAGTTGGACCATTCATAAGAGCCCTATATAAATAATCAAGTTTGAAACATGGTTGAATATTCAATTCTATGATTTCTATCTTGTGGGAAACAATCCATTTTGGGGAAAAAAATTAAACAAGAAAAGTACATCAAACCTCAAATCAAAAGAAGATGTGAAATAACAATAATGGTGAAAAGGTAGAACGCTTCTCAACGGACACCTAAAATAGGGATTACACAAGAAAATGCATTGAACTTTAAGGCTTCAATCATTTGATTTGGAAGATTAGCACATGAAGTACATCAAAATCTAGATTACATTATTGGGTTGTAGAATAAAAACAGTTAACTGAATATTGAACAGAAGCCCAAGATATCCAACTCTACATTATTCATTCTTCAAGGACTATTTCCGATTTAATAAATCAATGAAATCAAACTTTGATTGCTGATAAAATTGAGAAAATTTCAAGAAAATAGAATCTTGAATGACATTTGTATGTTGTGTTTGGTTATTAGAGATAACAAAACCCTCACCTCAACAAACCCAGAGATCAGCATCAAGCAGCTTAACAAGTGGCCAATTAGTAATCTATCTATCTATCTAGTAGAAAAAAGACACTAAAATAATAACAATCCCTTAAAATTCAAACTTTCTTGGCAACCAAACGGAGCATATGAGTGAACCCAAAAGCCATAAACATCAGATATGCTCAATTAAACAAAAAGTTGATTCATTTCATAACTAGAACATGAAATTGTTACAAAACAGAGCTGAATTGGTGGAGAAACGAACCTGATCAGCATCACCGTTGCTGTAATTGATTGGTTCCATGATTTGTTTTCCGAGTTGGGAGCTCTGGAGCTCAGGTCTATCTCCCTATACGGTGATAATATAAGTATAATTCACTAATTATATATAATTCACTAATTATATAAATTATAAATATTAAAAAAATTAAAATTTTATATTAATTTATATAAATTATAAATATTAAAAAAATTATATATAATTCACTAATTATATAAATTATAAATATTAAAAAAATTATATATAATTCACTAATTATATAAATTATAAATATTAAAAAAATTATATATAATTCACTAATTATATAAATTATAAATATTAAAAAAATTATATATAATTCACTAATTATATAAATTATAAATATTAAAAAAATTATATATAATTCACTAATTATATAAATTATAAATATTAAAAAAATTATATATAATTCACTAATTATATAAATTATAAATATTAAAAAAATTATATATAATTCACTAATTATATTTTTTTTTTTTAAGTTTTGATTTTAAACTTTAAAAATAATTTTTAAATTTATTGTTTTTCATGTTTTTGTTATTTATAGTAAATTTTCTTGGTATGTTAGTTTTCTTTTTTAAATACACTTAATTTAATTGTACTTAAAAAGTAAAATAGTTGTGAATTTTTTTTAAACAATTCAATAAATACAAATATATATATATGAAAAACATATAATTTTTTGTATTTTCCAAAATTTTTAAAGATTTTGTCAAAATTTTTGGTTTTCAGTTTTCAAAAATTGTTTATGAGTTTTCAATTTATATATTTTTTATTTTTATTGAAATTTTTTAATTTTTTGGTCGTTTTTTTTTATTTTTTTGTATGTATCTAATCTAAATATATTTAAAAGGTAAAATATTTATGAATTCTTTAAAATGAAATTAATAAATCAAAAAATGTAATAATTTTTATTTTATTTTTTTTGCATTTTTTAGTAATTAGTAAATTTTTTAAATATTTTTTCATGAATTTTATGCTTTATATGTGTTTTTAAATTAAATTGAATCTTAACAGTAAAAAATATTGATTAAAATATTTTAAAAGTTTACTAAAATAAAATAAAAAAACTATTGAAAACATTAAAACTATTTTGAAAATTTCAAAACCAAGCACAATGATAATGTTTTGATGGCTAAGGTCCCTCAACCTTATTTTAGGTTATAAAATACATAATTTATCTTTTTTTATAACATAAGTTTGTTTGGATTTTGACAAATTGAATATTCTATTGCTGACTTCACGGTAGAGATTTTGGAAACTGACTTCGTAAGGGATATTTCGTCGGAGATTTCGTAGGGATTTTGCAAGTGTTGCAGTGAACTTGACGATAGAGATTGTTATGATCGTGTAGGTGTTACAGTGTGTTGATCATATAAGTTTGTCAATGGAGTTGAATCAGGTATGTTTTCAATGGAGATTCCACATTCCCTCAACCTTATTTTAGGTTATAAAATACATAATTTATCTTTTTTTATAACATAAGTTTGTTTGGATTTTGACAAATTGAATATTCTATTGCTGACTTCACGGTAGAGATTTTGGAAACTGACTTCGTAATGGATATTTCGTCGGAGATTTTGTAGGGATTTTGCAAGTGTTGCAGTGAACTTGACGATAGAGATTGTTATGATCGTGTAGGTGTTACAGTGTGTTGATCATATAAGTTTGTCAGTGGAGTTGAATCAGGTATGTTTTCAATGGAGATTCCACATAGATTTTGATTTTTGTTTTGAATTTTATGTAAGGATTCTGATTTCATATTAGTTTTTCGAGTGTATTTTTGCATTAGGCTTTTATTTTCAGTTTCGATCAATTTAAAAGAGAGGCTAGCTCAGTGAAGTTGTTTATGATTTTTGGAGTTGATTTTTCATTCTCTGTTATTGATCAATTTTAGAAAGAGGCCAGCTTGATAGAGTTGATTTTGATTTTTGGAGTTCATTTTTCATTCTCTATTTTTTGATCAATTTCAAAGAGAGTTGACAATGTAGTTGATTTTGATATTTAGAGTTCATTTTTCGTGCTCTATTTTTTATCAATATACTGATCAATGATAAGTTTTGTTCTTTATTTTTTTAAACCAGAGAATTTTTTTTAAACCAGATAAATTTCATTCTCTGCACTTTTGTTGGTATAATTCAAAGAAAATTGTAAGTTTGTTATTATAATCCAATGAAAATCACAAAGAACATTATAAGCTCATATGGACATTTATTAGAAGTTTCTAATGCAGATAGAATCTCAGAAAGTGAATGTAAGTTCTTAAGGTTGCGTTTGGTAAAGCTTTTTAACTACGATTTGAGAGTAGGAGTTGTATTTTGAGTTTGTGAGTTTTGGAATTATGATTTGAGTGTATAAAATTTGTTTGGTGAAAGAGTTTTGAGTTGAGTATGGAATTTTTGATGTAACATATAATATTTAATACAAAAACTTACAACTCATAACCAAATACACAATTCAAAATTCTATTAAAGCTCATAAAAAATTTAAAAAATATTTTCTCCGAATATATAAAAATTAACATGTGTCAGTTGCAAAAAAAAAGTGTACTGTTCCAATCAATCAGCCAGACATCCGATGGGACGACTGGTTAGCTCAAATTTTTCCGCCTAAGACAGAGTTTTCAAAATTGAATGCGGAATTATCTTTGAAAAACCGTAAACAAACATGAAACTCAAATAAAGGGGTGGAAATAGCTTTGGAAAAGCGTTCCAAACAGAGCCTAAATTTCTCTGGACTTTTATTTGTAGTTCAGAGAAAATTATAAGTTTGTTATTCACTTTCAGTTTGTAATTTAGAGAAAATTATAAGGTTGTAGAAAGTGAATATAAGTTTTTGTTTCTTTGAGAAAAGTTATTTTTTGTGTTTTTTCTTTCAGTTTAGATGGACAGTGCAGTGTTTTTTGTTATCTTGCAAGTGTATATAAGTTTATAAATTTCTCTAGATTTTGATATGAGTGCAATATTGCAAAATAACGTAGAGAAAATTGTAAGCTTGTAGTTCAGTGAAAATCACAGAGAAGCTTATAATTTCATAACAGATTTTCTATGTGATTTTTGTCTATGATTGTATTTAATAGTTGGCAGTAAATTTCTCTGTGATTCTCTCTGGATTCATTAAGTTTTCTGTGATTTTGTTTTTGTTATCTTAAAGGTGAATATAAGCTTGTAAATGTCTTTGAACTCTTATTTGAGTCTGGAGAAAATTATAAGCTTGTTATTATAATCCAGAGAAAATTATAATTATTAGAAATTTCTCTAGACCTTTATGTTGCTCTTGTAAAGTGTTTTTATGTCGAACAAATTATTTTTCTTGTTTTTTCTTTCAATTTCGATGGACAGTGCAATGTTGTTGCTGTGCAAATATAGGAATGATACTATTGTCATTGATGTTTCATACGAATTGAATTTTGAGGAATTTGTTGGCAATTTGTGTAAAACATGAGAGAATTTAAAACCTGAGATGATGTGTATTTCATATTCTATTGTGGGCCATCCGAATTATATGGTTCGAAATAGTATTGATTTTTTGAATATGTTGAGGGTTGTTTGTACACGTGGTGTTGATATAGTTGATGTTTCAGTTACTAGGTGTAGAACTTCTGATCAAAAGGATGAAGTGAGGTCTAATTGGGTAGATGTTATGCATGGTGAATGTGATAGGTTGGTGGATATTGAAAGGAATTCACTCTCTAAGTTTTGTTCTCACCAAAAAAAAGGTGTTATTGTCAGCTGGTTGGCGAAATAATATTACGAGTGTTGTACAAAAGTTTGAGGTGGTGTGGTTGTGTTATGTATGTAGCGTGTACATGTTTCAGTTGAAAAAACAAATGGGTTCTTTTACATAAGAACTTTAAACAATGAACATACGTGTGGTGTGGTGGTTCATACTTATAAACATGTTATGATGACTTCCAACTTAGTTTCTAGACTGATACTTGAAAAGGTAAATGCAAAACCTTTAACTCGTCTAGTGGATGTTGTCAAAGAAATAAAAGACAAGTATGGGGTCTCAATCAGTTATAACTGTGGTTGGTTGGGTGTTGAAAAAACAAAATGTAGTGCATATGGGGATTCTTGTTTGTCATTCGATCAATTACAGTGGTATTTTGATGAGGCATTGAAGAACAATCCAGGTAGTCGTTTTGAGTTAGATTTTGAAAATAACAAACGTTTCAAAAGAATGTTTGTGGCTTTTCATGCATGCATTGCTAGTTTCAAATATTGTCTGTCATTGTTGTTTCTTGATGGAACATTTTTGAAAAGACGATACAAAGAAGTTATGCTTGTTGCGACGAGGAAAGATGAGAATGAAGGTGATTATAAATATATCTAATTTTTATCTAAGTATGTGAATTTTCTATACATGTAGGAATTGAGTAAATGTGATTTTTCTCTGACACTTTGAATTTTCTCTGGTTTTGGCCATGTGTGAATTTTCTTTGGTTGTGGCCATTCTATGAATTTTCTCTGGATTTTGGTCAGTGTATGAATTTCCTCTGAATGTTGTCATTGTGTGAATTTTATCTGTAGTTGGTCACTAAGTGAATTTTCTCTGGATATTGTCATGGTGTGAATTTGTAACGCCTGTATTTTATTACTGGGATAACCTTACTAATATTCATTAATTAAGTCCATTTACAAATAACATTTCATCCTTAGATGAAATGATGAATAATTAAATATACATATTCCCTCTCGTTATACAACAATGACATTTACATACAAATAAAAAAAATGCCCTGGGGCTTACAATAAAAGAGAGGACACTGCTCTTTACAAAAAAAAATAGCACTCAGCCAAACAACAAATGAAGTAGTACAATCCATCACTACATTACACTTATGAAATGGTAAAAACCTTTGTTTGATCTTCAAATCCGAAAAGCATTCCCTGTACACATGTACAGGTAGGGGGTGAGCAACCACTAACTGACCAAGCAATCTCATATTAAAACATTAGAAGATATGTGGATACTCAAATATTCATACATATACGTGAAATCATATCATGTCAAAATCATATGATTTTATTACATAATCTCTTAAATCCAATTTATTTAATTAACCAAAACAGGTTAACTTAAATAAA